CAATCTTTACCTTTCGACCATTTCGAGACTCTTCGTCATGTCCATGATCTCATCCACTCCGAACAATCTTGGGTCACCAAAACACATAACTCATAATACAAATCATTATCGAACGTTAAGCGTGTGCACCCTACGGGTTCGAGAACTATGTAGACATGACCGAGACATATCTCCGATCAATAACCAACAGCAGAACCTAGATGCTCATATTGTTTCCTACATATTCTATGAAAATCTTTATCGGTCAAACCGCAATGACAACATACGTAATTCCCTTTGTCATCGGTATGTTACTTTGCCTGAGATTTGATCGTCGGTATCTTCATACATAGTTCAATCTCATTACCGGCAAGTCTCTTTACTCGTTCCGCAGTACATCATCCCGCAACTAACTCATTAGTCACATTGCGTGCAAGGCTTATTATGATGTGCATTACCGAGAGGGCCCAGAGATACCTCTCTGATACTCGGAGTGACAAATCCTAATCTCGATCTATGCCAACCCAACAAACACCTTCGGAGATACCTGTAGAGCATCTTTATAATCACTCAGTTACGTTGTGACGTTTGATAGCACACAAGGCATTCCTCCGGTATCCGGGAGTTGCATAATCTCATAGTTGAAGGAATATGTATTTGACATGAAGAAAATAAAACTGAACGATCAATATGCTAAGCTAACGGATGGGTCTTGTCCATGGCATCATTCTCTAATGATGTGATCCCATTCATCAAATGACAATATATGTCTATGGTCAGGAAACTTAACCATCTTTGATTAACGAGCTAGTCAAGTAGAGGCATACTAGGGACACTCTGTTTTGTCTATGTATTCACACATGTATCAAGTTTCTGGTTAATACAATTCAAGCATGAATAATAAACATTTATCATGATATAAGGAAATACAAATAACAACTTTATGATTGCCTCTAGGGCATATTTCCTTCACGAACTACCCGACGCCATCGGACATGCGCGTGCCGGGTGCATGGCGACTGAGTGCAGGGGGCGTCCTCGTGCCTCTGCCACCCTATGACGTGGAACGCCCTGCCGAGATCGCGGTGATCCGGGCCAACCAGTCGGAGCATGCGCGCCAGCAGCCACGGTACGCGGCGGACAACCATGCGCGGTGGACCGTGTACTTCCAGCGGTGCCACGACGGGCAGTTGGTGTCCACCAATGGCAGCCCGACGCCGAGGGGGCGACACAACTCGGAGGGCTGCCGTCAATGGTGGTGCGCGCCCAGGCGGACTCTCTTCGTCATGCTCGCGCACATCGAGGGCGTCAACGAGCCGTGGCTGGAGGACCTGGCGACATCCATATCTCGTCGCCGCGGAAGCTCCTAGATGTCGAGGCACATGGACACGCCGTCCTCATCGTCCTCGGGCTCCCGCTCCTACGGGTCGGCACCGGCGGCACTCGTCCCCGTCAAGCCGGAGCCGTAGGAGACGCCGCTCCGTCGGCGCAGCTGCGGTGGCACCATCGTCATAAACGAGGGCGGCCACGTCCCTTTCCCTCCCCACGGCCACTACCGCCTGGTCAAGCCGAAGAAGGAGACGACGGTGACCATCGTGGTGAAGCAGGAGCACGAAGCCATTGCCGCCGACCTCGAGACCGGCCTCTCCTGGTCGTGGCAGAACTACGTGGCGCAGGAGATGGAGCGCCAGCGCCACGCTCTGGAAGAAATCGCCGCACGGTACCGCGGCCGTGACGAGGGCGGCGTCATTGTGCCCTCCGACAGCGACGACGAGGTCACTGCGCCGAGCCAGCCGGTCCGCTGCGGTGATCCGGGGCGGGGCTGCAGCAAGGATGCCCCAAGGACGAGACGACAATGACGGCAACGACTACGACGACTACATCATCTTCTACAACCTCCTCGGCATGAACAACTAGGAGTAGTTTTTATAATGTTTTTATCTATGTAAATTCGCCTAAATATCAATGAAATCGCCTATATTTCGTCCAAATTAACCGAATTTCGTCGACTTTGGGGTTTTTTTTAATTTTTTTTGGATGATGCCGTTGCGGCGCGGCTGGGAATCGGTTCCCCCCACGCCGAAATTATCGACGGCAAGCCCCCAAGAGACGCTATTTTTCTCCTAAAAGCGCCCTTGGCGGGCCGAACGGCTGGAGATGCCTAGCCTTTCCACTTGAACTTGAAAATCATAAAAACATATGTATTAGACAACTGTGCTATGGACAATTCCTTTCAATTACCCTAAGGAAAAGTACAATAAGTTGATGTGAACAAGCTATACGAGCCCATATTTTTGCTCTGGAAGAAAACCGTGTTGTTAATTAAGGGTTAGTTTTAGCAGGGGCTTCAAAAATTCTATGGGAGAATAAGATGGACCATATATTGATAAAGTAATGCATATACTATAATACATGTTCGCTATTAAATTGGTTGTAAGATATCGTGAACTAGTTTTTACATTACACACGGACGGGAGCACACAGATTCTAGGCCACATGATTGTGTCAAGTTTCAGAAGCTTGCATTGTGTTTAGGGCTTAATTAATCCATGCACGCAACTTTTGGAGCATTCGGCAGAGACTGGATGGCCCATGCACTCCAACTCTCATAATTTTTCTTTTGACTTCTGAAACTTGAATCTATTACATCTTTTGAACTAAAAGTCCAATTTACATTTCATTTGCATATTCGTGTTCCTTGTGACGAGGGCTTTGAAACAAGGCCACTATTGAATATGTTTTGACACGTTTTAGAAACTTCATCAAGTTTCAACAAATAAAACTTGATAGGAACAAACGATAAAATTACCAAGTTTCAAAAACTAAAACTTAGACCATAAACCTTAAGCTCCAAGCCCTAAGCCCTAAAAGCAAATGAAACTTGGTAAAACTTTATGAAAGTTGATGAAAACTTAATATTGTGACTATCAAGTTTTAATATTGAAACTTAATAAAAATTGCATAGTTGTCAAAATGTATTCATGTGTGGTCTTGTTTGTAATTTCTCGTCGCAACAAACACAAATATGCATACTAAACTTAGTTTGGACTTTCTTTAGTTGAAAATATATAATAGCTTCAAGTTTGAACATGAAATGAAAAAGTATGAGAGAAGAGGTGAGTAGAGCATGCAACTCTGCTAAAAACATGCATGCATGGGGGCCCATGCAAGTCAAACATACTACGTTTGTACTATTTACAAAAAACTGATCCTTTTGGAAATTTAATCCGTCCACTGACCACTTGAGAAACTTATTTGTGAATCTGGTCTTCGGTATACATCAAACCGTTACACTCTTACACACAATATAGCCAAAATGTTTGGCTACATCAACTGTATGAGTGTAGTCAAACGGTTTGACAGGGCTACAAGACAACTTGCTAAAGTGGTTTGGAGTCTATCCAAAACATTTGAAGCAACTCACACACTTCATGTAGTCAAACAATTTGATTACATTGCGTGTATGAGTGTAGTCAAATGGTTTGGTGTATATACCAGGGCCAGATTCGGAAATACGTTTTTCAAAGGTTCAATAGACGGATTAAGTTTTAGGAAGGGGCATCTAGTACACATAATACACTACCTATGGTGTACCTCATCCTATTCTTGTCACTGGTCGCGCCCACCATGAACTATGACATCCGCACAAGTGATGTTGTCAACTCCAACAATAATAACAATATGACAAGGGGTAATGTTTAGGATGTTGACGACATCTAGATGAGTAGATATGTGCGTTTAATTGGAAATTTCTCATCTAGCATGATGTAGATCATATATTTTTTCAAATTTTCAATTTGACAGTATATATCTGTGATTTCGTAAAAAAATACTTTTTAATTCATCTCCTCCTACAGGTATGCTTGGCCAGAGCTTCCGAGAACTTGCCCAGGTCTGGGCCCTACCACTCAGGCCTCATAACCTCTCACACAAAGCTCCGTGGAAAGCGGGCAACGAGAAGAAAATGTGGGTCCTGAACTAGAGGACGCCACAAAGGGGGCACATGCCATCTCCTGGCACATTTCATTTTGCCACCTTTGTCCCCTAGGGAGGCGATCCTGCAAAAGTTGACATGAGGAAGTCTTGATCTTCAACGAAAGCGACACCTTTCACAGATGAGTGATCCAAGTAAGAGTCAACGGACGACATAGGGAACAATACACCGAGTCTACAGAGAACAATCCGAACGGAGCCAGGTGCCAGGACACAACATCAGAAGAGTTCGACAACTTCGTCCGAAAGGTTGCCTACAAGGCGGCCCAAGCTAAGGTCTCCTCACAGCCAAATGTTAGTTGGAAAGGGATGTTCCAAGTCCCACTGTGGGAAGTCGAGGAAACAAAAAATATTGGTTCCATGTAGATTGAAAACAGGCCAAGGAATTAGGAGCGTAGCGGAACCTGCCAATCCATGGGTTCAATCAGAAGAGGGTCCCATCTCCATTGCTTATGGAGACACATGTACCCTAGGTGAATCTCATGCATACCAACTTAGTTCTAGAACTAGGAATTCTCTTTTTTTTTGCAAAAGGATCCAAATATATTATCAAAGTTCACCGGAAATACAAAGAACCTAAAACATAATAAAAATTACATTGAGATTCCGAGACCATCGTACGACCAATATTGTAGCCAGAAAGAGTCGTCGACGCGCCGCTATCTCTGCTCCCCTACCGGAGGCTTGACTTTGTCAATGACATACGAGAAGTCTTCGTTCACATGTCCTTAAGTGTGTGCTTGAATGTCTGATACTTTACCTGTGTGGCAGAGAGAGATGGTGGGGAAAATTTATAGTGCAGGGATCTTTTAACCTTCTTCATGTCTAACCAAAGGCGAGACGAGATTCTCAGATTTCATGCAATCTTTTTCATTGTTTGAACTTTGAACTTTGAACTTGAGGGAGTCCACATCAGTCTACACTAGTACAATCCATGTATAATCGCTTGTGATAATTCTGAGACTAAGGAGGCATTAATCTACGTTTCCACCGAATTAGTAACATAGAACTCTCTAATCGTCCTCATACTACTCGGTCCGGTCGTCGGCGGCGGACACCGGGAAGCGGCAGAGCGGGCAGGTGCGGCTGATCCGGAGCCACCTGAAGATGCAGCTCTCGTGGTATCCACGCGAGCACGGCATCTTCCTGATCTTGTCGCCTACCTCGAAGCTCTCCTTGCATACAGCGCACTCCGCCTCCCTCGTCTCCTCGACGGCCGCCTCCTCCAGCCCGGCGATGGCCTCCTCGGACGCCGGGACCGCGCCGAAGCTGCCGTATCTGTACCCAGACGACCTGTCATCGTGTCCATCGCCGTTACCTCCGCGCATGAAACCATGAAAGTAAGTGTCTCGCTCCAGTAGCCGAAACTCTGTGATGAAGCTGCCTGGCTGAGAGATTGAGACTAAGCGGGCCGGGGCAGGGCGTGTCTGTTCACCGGCGGCCGCGTCGTAATATGGGCTGGAGCCGTCCATGTCGCGTGAAGCCACCGCGGAGAAGACGACGACGAATCGGCCGTGGACGAACGAGAGAGAGAGGTGCACGAACGAAACAGCTGAGGGCGGAAACGAACGGGGTCCCGCTGCTTTTGTAGAGCCAAAATGATGTCCAGCGATCCGGTTCCGAGTGAGATTTCGTTTCCGGTACCATCTCGGCGGACCCGATGCGCGGCCGACTGTAAGCCCACCACCCGGTTGCAAAAGCCTAGCCCATATCAATCGCCCGCCAGCTCGCAGCCCAAAAGGCCCAAACACTGCGTTGTCCAGACAGACCCGTCGCGGGTGAGGTGAGCCGCTCCGCCCCCATCCCGGCCCGCCGCCGCGAAGAATGGAGCCTTGCATCTCCAACTGTTTACTCCTTTGCTTTACCGTCAGCTAGATAAAGCGTGCTCATTCGTTGGACTAGAATCGGTGCTATATTTTTATTAGCTTTTCGTTGATTGCGCTAGAAACATACTATCATACAAGATAGTACAACCAGATTCAGGTTGTCAAAACCAGTTACTCCGTAGAATGGATAAATTAGTTTCCTATTCATGACTACATATACACAATTTACAATTCATTTAGTCAAAAGTATATCACCAGTGCATCAGACCTAGTGATGATAAAACAAATCTACGCAGATAAGCTAATTGCATCTAAACGGAAAAACTTTTTAGTATGTATTCTAGAAAAAACTTTAACAATATAGAGATCTCAGGCCATCAGCGAAGTAGACTAACCGCACAATATTCTTGTGTCGTTCCATCGTCACAGAGTCATGGGGCGCAGGCGCGCAGCATCACATCACCGGCGGCGATAGATTTTGGTTGCAACCTTGTCGATTCAATGCCAGTTTTCTCCTTCTGGCACTGCCCTAGGCTTGCAGCTCATCTCTGCGTCCGGTCTGCCGGCAAGGCAGCAACGTATCCGTGGATCCGGCGCCTACCTCTGTCCTGGCATCCTCTTCCCTTCGCCCCTTCTTGATGGACGCGTGACGGAGAGATCCGATCAGCAGCCAGCACTTGGCTTCGGTTACGATCACAGAAGCGGCTTGGAAAGTGGAAAGGAAGAGGTTAGCATCTAGCGATATGTGCGTGCGTAGTCTTTTTTTTTTTTTGAGTAACTTGTGCGTGCGTAGTCCATCTCCAAGTCGTGGCTGCGTGCGGCAAGCCTGCAACTAAAGCCTCTCTTGTCATCTCCCTAAAAAAAAAAAGCCTCTCTTGTCCTCCACGACGGGCTGCCATTTTCCTTGACCTCATTTTGTACTTTTAGCAAATAGATTGGGCTGTATCTATACATGG